AAGATTTTATTTATTTATTTGACAGAGAGAGAGAGAGTGAGAGCAGGAATACAAGCAGGAGGAGTGGGAGAGGGAGAGGGAGAAGGAGAAGAAGGCTTCCTGCCGATGCGGGGCTAGATCCCAGGATCCTGGGATCAGGACCTGAGCCGAAGGCAGACGCTTAACAACTGAGCCACCCAGGCGCCGCATGAAGTAATATGTTCTAATATTCAGACCTGGATAAAAATAAGAAATGCATAAACTTCTTCATTCACAGAAATGACTCCTGACTTTCCTCTTAACTCATCAAGAATATAGTTCACTTTAGACTCACCCATTTTTATCAAGCTCAGCCGGTCACTAGGGGAAGCTTTTCTACCATGACTTGTAGCTGCCATGGTTTCACTTTGCTGACTTTACATATAGGTATGTCAGAGATACATCATCCATGCCTTTATCTCTCCCATAGCCCTTTGCCCATGGTAGGTACAAAATAAGTATTGGTTGGATAAATGAATGGCTAGGAAGCATAATAAGTACTACTGTCAGTCCACAAAATGCAGGGATACAAGAAATATTACTTTGATGTATAACTCAATTTCACTTTGACTCTGAATCCTCACCCTCCTCCTGTAGTCAACTAGAACAAAAACAACCTTATCTCCTCCTCTGCCTGCTTCAGAAATTGTACCAAATTTCTGGATTTAGAGTGGAAGTGGGGCTTTGGAGTGTAGATGTCTAGGAGCACTGTCTCTTTCTACACACCATCTTTCTGCTTCATGTGACTACCTCAGGGATTGGGACCCTTTGTTTGAAGCTGCCTGTAGACCCATCTGCCTAGATGCACCAGTCTGCCATTTCTTCCAGGGTGTTCACTTCGTTCCCTTCTCCCCTCCATAAAGGTTTTCCCTCGTTTTCATCAAGAGTTTTATAGTTTCAGCTTTTAAGTTTATTTGATCCACCATCCACCTTTTTGAGCCAATTTGATTCTAATCATTTAAAAGTATTCTCATGATAGGAAAGAAAGGCACAATTTTACAGTTTCATATATATTTGTGTGTTTGTTGGGGAGGCAGTATGCAATAACCATAAAATCTCTGATACGAGTTTTTTTTTTAAATGTAGTCCTCCTGTAAAAAGTGGAGGAAATGCCACTTTCTGATTTTTTGAAGAGCAATTGCAAGAATATAATGTAGAGAGAACTTTTATTCTACAAAAAAAGTCTTCATAAATTCCTCTGAGATATAATATACCTCTTTAAATAACTGAATTTGTATTTGCAGAAGCCCAAGTATATAGATTTATTGATGAATTCCATAAACCATATGAAATCCCCCCCACTAACTTATCAAAATTACAACTACCCCAAAATGCCTGGGGTGCCTGGGTGGCTTGGTCGATTAAGTGTCTGACTCTTGGTTTCGGCTCAGGTCATGGTCTCAGGGTTGTGAGATCAAGCCCCGTACAGGGCTCTGGGCTCAGGGAGGAATCTGCTTCTCTCCTTCTATCGCCTCCTCTGTCCCTCCCCCGCTCATGCTCTCTCTCTCTCTCAAATAAATAAATCTTAAGAAAATAACTTCTGCTTAATAGCTTATTATTACCTTATTCCTGAAGAAGTAGAAAACATATATCTGTTTAATTCTTTAATCAACCTGGTAATTTATTTAAAAAACAATTTTAGATAAGCTTTGATTTATTCTTAAAGTCTTGAGGGAAAAATATGTAATTTATGTAATATAAGTATTAAGTAGAAAGGACATCGGCTTCATAATTTCCAAACCTTTTCTAGTTGTAGGCTTTTAAATTTGAAAATTGAATACCATTTCTCATGGCTGTCCCTAGGTGGCGCAGTGTCTTTCAGTCAAAGGGGTATGATTTCCCCTTGGATATCAAATGCTTTTTTTTAAATTTTATTTTATTATGTTATGTTAATCACCATACATTACATCATTAGTTTTTGATGTAGTGTTCCATGATTCATTGTTTGTG